AGTATAGCAAAATGAAGTCTAACTCTTAACCAATGGGCTGTTTATTTTAAATAATATTCACTGTAAGTCCCAAGGTAAATCCAGCCTTTTAGAATTGTTTTGAGTGGGATTTGAACCACACGTCTTCCATAAAGCAGGCAATGAGCACTTAGTAGTTAGCAAGTATTTTAAAAAGGAAAATAGAGAGTAACATTGGAGCTGTTCCTTAAATTTCATGACAGCAAAATTTAACTGTAAAATTTCAAACTCAAATGATTTGCATTTGGGCCAGGCAAAGAGTCCCTGTATCATAGACAATACTATTTTCTGAACATCTCCACACCGTGTCATTTTCTTCTTTTCCTCTGTACCACCCACCAAGGGTCCAAATTGTTTTTGTTTACTTTATATTACTGTGGTAGGTCTGGTGCCAATTGTCTTTGAAAATAAAAGCCTTGGGCCTCCCTGGTGGTGCATGGGGTTGAGCACCACACTATGAGGCAGTCCGCAACCTCTGCAGCACAAGTTCGATACCCAGCCGGCCAGGGAGCAACCCACATGGCTCAGCAGACCTCTCCTGTCTCGCCCACTGCTCCCCTCAGCAGTGTGTTTCAGTCAGTCTGCCTGTTCTGTTCCCCACTCTGTCTCCAGTGAATCCTTTCACCCCCCGCATCTCTGGCCTGTACCCCAGCTCATATATGCATAAATAAATAAATCTTTAAAAAAATAAAATAAAATAAAAGTGTTCATCAGATAGCAATACATTGTCCCTACAAAAATGTTACTCATTCACTCAGTTTGGTGCTTCCCTTCTGAGGAAAAGAAAAGAGGTGGGGTTAGAAGCAGCAACCTAGGAACCTGTACAGAACCCTGCAAAACCCTGGGGGTGTGCAATGTGTGTCTGGTCTGCTGGTGGGGAGGGGAGAAGAAATGCCGAGAGGGCCATTGTCAGAGAGGAGTAGCAGGTCATTGTTCTGGGGCTGTCAAAGCACTCGCAACCTGAAGGGAAAATCTGTGCTAGCCTCACTCCCACCTCCTCCCCCAGGTAAAGCCCAGCCCACCCCTTCCATCGCATAACTCCTCAGGACCAAGGAGGGTGTCTGAAAGCAGGGCCTGCCACTCCAAGACCGTTGCTGTCCCTGTGGGACCCCTGATGAGGGTTAGCTAAGCACACAAGAGACACCCTTATGGGCTGATGTGGGAGGAGATGCCCCTGCCCTGTGCAGAGGAGGGGAGGATGGGCAACACTGGGTTCTTAGAATGGCCTGCAGGTGAGTGCCTCTCTGTACCGTCAGTTCCCTTCATCTTCCATTTCTGGGTGTACCTAGGATGGCTTCATCGACCTGCCAAGGTCCTGGAACTGAGGGAGGATGCGGAGGGTGCCAAACCACAGGAGCAGAAGCAAGAGTCTCAGGAAAGGAGCTAGTGTGTCTCCGGTGTCAGCTTTTGGGTCTTGATGGCATCAAGGGAGTAGTACACTGGGGCCATTGTACAGAGGAGGAGGCTTCTTGGAAGGAAAGTTTGAACATCTGATGACTGTGCAAAGCATTCAACAAAACTCAATTCAACCAGCACACTCAGCCACACTCATTCTGTGTGAGGCATTGTAGGTGCTCTTTCAAGGAAACTGGAGAGAATGGGATGTGGTCTCCACTCTTAACAGGTCTGAGGACCCTTGTAAGTGTAGGCAAAACAAATCCACACTTTATACGGTGACAAAATGCCAGTGTTGTTACTGGCATGTAATACCCTGGGCTGGTGCACTGGGAAGGAGGATTCTGGTTTTTTAGGGTATTCATGTCGTCCACAGGCATATTCCATTTATTGTATTTAGATATTCAGCTTTAGGTATGCTAAGCTTAAGATTGGGGTGTCTTTAAGTGAAGACACCCCAGTCTAGAGCTCAGAATCTAGACTAGAAATATAAATCAGGGATTAACATCAATAGGAGAGATCACCAAGGGGCAAGGGTGGTGAGAACACCCAGAAGGGTGTGGGTGAGAAATGGCAGGTAGTAGAGGAGGCAGTGGCCAAGAAGTTGGGTGATGCTATATTGTCAGAAAATGTATTTCCAGAGACGTGAGGCACAGAGGCCTTTTTATCATGAGGGTGTTTGATATAGTGAGACCTCCTTTGTCTGTTCCCCAAGGGATAGGAGCTTTCTGTAGCCACAGTGGGCATGAGGACAGTGGCTGTCCACCAACTCATAAGGATGGCCCAGTGGCAACTCAGCACTTCACACTGATTGCCACGTATTCTGTCCTCACTGCACCCTTCCACAGGAATTACGGTGGACAGACACAGAGAGAAGTCGGGTAACTTGCCCAGATTCCATTGCGACAGGACGCCAGGTCAGGACCCCACCCTATCCCTCCAGCAGCCCAGCTTTGCAAGAACTACAAGAAGGCTCACAGTGTCAGAATCACAGCCTGTGGTGTGTCTGAATCAGAGAACAGGATCTGTACAGGGTCTGTGAGGGAATCTACCTACCAGAACCCAGGGTGAGCCAATGAGCTGAACAAGTCAAGCCTGGCACTTGATATGCTTCAGTGTGTTGGGTCTCAAGCCATTCAGTTAACAAATTTGTTTCTTTTTTGATTTCAGTAACACTGCCTTTCCTTTGGGTCTCTTTTGCTCCCCCCATTTTCCACCATTTGCTCCCACCATTTTAGGCTTCTAAAACACAATTTACATTACAAGCCCAACTGCCCTGCTGTCTGGTCCTCTCTCCTCTATCTGCTTCTCCCTCTGGTTCCTCTCAGCCTTCTCTCTTCTCTCCTAAATCTAACATGCAAATTTTAGCTCCTCTTGTTTTTCAAGTCTCCCATCTTGAAGTTCCTTTTCTTTCCCCAGTATCTTCCAAAGTTCTCTCGTCCTCTGTTGAACTGATCCTGATGATGAGATTCAAAGTAAGGTATACATTTCATCATCATGATGTTTATTCATGATACTTTGGACATACTCCCCTTTTCTGTGATGGTCAAATCAGCATCTGCTATCATCTAATTGTATTTCCAGCTAATTAAAAAATTTCCATGTACTGGGCCTCCCCTGGTGGCGCAGCGGTTGAGCGCTGGGTTGTGAAGCTGCCCGCAGCCTCTGCGGTGCTGGTTCAATCCCCGGCTGCTCCCCGGCCACCAGAGGAGGGTCCCGCATGGCATGCAGACCTCTCCTGCTGCCCGCTGCTCCCCTCAGCAGTGTACTTCGGTCCTTCTGCATGCTCTGCTCCCCGCTCTGGCTCTGGTGAATTCTCTCACCCTCCCGTGCTTCTGACTGTACCCAGTGCTTGTATAAATAAATAAAAAAAATAAATCTTTATAAAAAAATATATTAAAAAAAATTTCCATGTACTTCCTCTCAGTGAAAGAAATTTGAGTACTTTATTCTTTTCTTCTCGCCTTGGGGTGGGTTGGGAGCCAGCCTGCTCGAGGAAATCCTCCCAGGTGGGCAAAGGTGTCTCCAAGGCCACCTCCTCGTTCCCTGTGAGGCCTGTGAGTGGGTGGGCACCAGACAGGTATTCTGGGTGACTCTGCCATTCCCCCCCCTTCACCTTTTCTTGCATTCTCTCTGCTAAAAGCCATGCATCCTCTCACCAATTTCCCGATTTACTTTAAAAAACATGGGTCTGTCTGTGGAATACGTGTATGTGGGATACGGAGAAATGTGATTTTTATGTGTTTTAGTCAGTTTTCAATCAGCTTGTATTTGTTGGAGATACAGTTCTATGGCTTCACACCTGTGTATAATCAATGCGGGCCTAGTGCCAAATGACCTGAAAGTTACATAGTGGTCATTGAGATTTTACGTATAATACATTATATGATATGATGGCTGGAGGGAATGTGTGTGGGATTTCAGTCAGATAAAGAAGGGAGGTGATTTATGTTAACAATGGACCAACTTATTTATTTGCACTATCAATAACCCCCATACAAATCACATTGCATAAATATTTCTCTCTGTGGTCAGACCTGCTGCACAATAGCCAGAGTGGCTGTCAGCAGTGCTAAGCCATACTCCGTGTAGGTAATATATGAAAAGAATCCTCTGCTGGAAATATGCCAAGGGGCTTAAAGAAAGTAATTACAAAATATCCTAAAAATCTAGTTTGAAATTACAAGAACAATATTGCATTTACAGTTTCAAACTCTTATTCAGTAATCTACTTTTTACTCATTACCTATCTTACTCCTTTTATAATTACAAACCTAAAGCTCTTATTGCACTGAAGTATTTGCTTTAATCTTTTGCTTTCTGTCAGGGTCTGAAATAATGTACAATCACAAAATCGGTCAAATTATCACCTTTGTGAAATGATAATGTTTGTTCTATAAGGGAAGGCCTAGAACACCACTTGGGGAATAAGAAACCAAACACATAAAAGATTTACTTATGATCCCTTTCCTTCATTCGAAATTTATATTCTCCAGAATTTGACTAGGTGTGAGCACTGGGTATTCTGAATGGGAAAAACAGCTCAAAGAGGACATTCATGAGGATTTTGGCTCAAGGTTCATCATCTGCGTAAATGAACTCAATTAACTGAAGCAGCACGGGGAGGCTCTTCCAGGAGTTGTCCAGCAGGGTCAAGAACAGATTTCGGGACCCATCACCTTAGGCACACGCCGGGTTGGCAGCCGAGGTGTAGGGCAGGCTGAGCTCTGACGCCAGGAGGTGAAGGAGGAGCACGCTGGCAGCGGCACAGGGGAGGCTCTGGAAATCCAGAGCCCCTGATTGGGTCGGTCCCAGCCGCCAGCCAACAACAAAACGAGTCAAGCCGATCGCCGATCGCCGACAGCTCAATATTTAAAGCGGGCAAGTTTTGTTTAAGACCGAGTTTCGCCCGAACAGAAAAGAAAAGACAAAATTACTTGGGAGTTCAAGAAGCTGGCTCCTTAAAGTTGGTGAGTTTTATTTTAAGCTCTTTGAAACTTAGCTGGGTTTGAAGTTTAGTCACTAGAGGGCGGGGTGACGCCCCCGCCCCAAATGCATTTTTAAAACGAACCGCCGTGTGGTGAAGCTTGACATAGCTGTAAATAAGAATTCCCTTTCTTTGTCATTTGGGCCCGCAGAAGCTTAAGGCATACGTGGTGTAACAGATCTTTCAACTAGCCCGCCCTTAGAACTCTTGCTCTAAAAAGATCGGAGCATGCAACTCACTTAAAACATACCTTCGAAAGGTGAGTACCGGTTGCTAGTTTTGACCCAATGGATCACTAATCTAACACGTTCTGCCTCCTAATGGAAACTGTATGGAGACCAGTTGTTCCAAATGGAATTATCTATGCGATCAATCATACGACTTAAAATGCAGCTTCTGCATCCTCACCGGGGCTGCAGCCCCTCGTGGGTGGCTCTGTTCTTTGCTTCTGTGCGGCTGAAGAGCAGTCTCGGCGGGGCTAGGTCTCTGCTCCCAGGATGGTTTGCTCTTTGTGCTGGGGGCCGCAGAGGGTTCCCTTTGGTCCGGAGGAGTATTTCAGGCCCAACCTCGCCCCGCCCCTTACCTAAACCGGCTGCCCCGCCACTTTATCCAGCCGGAAAAATCTCTTTTGCTCCCGTCGCCCTGGCGAGATCTCCGTAGGCTCGAGAGGGAAGAGAGCTCGAGGAGGTGCAGGGGCGCGCGCGCTCTCTGGGGGCTCCAGGACTTCAGGTTGGAATGCGCGCGCGGCAGGAGCAGACTCCCCGGCCCCGGCCCCGGCCCCGGCCCCCTGCCCGGGCCCGGAGCGCGAGCGGCCCAGAGTCCGGGACCTGGGTCTGCCCCACCGCCACCGGGCACGGCTGCCCGGCGCCCGAAAGCGCGGCGGGTAAGAAGGGCGCGCTCCCTCCCCGAGCGCCTTTGTTTGCTCCGGCCTACGGTCGCCGATGCGACCCCCGGCTGAGCAGCGGCCCAGGTACCGCAGGTAGGCTGGACGGCTCGGAGCTCTGGCTGGGGGTTGAGTTTCCCGGGGCCGGGCGGGTTCTCCTCCCTCGGGAGCTTCGGAGAGGCGGCCGCCGCGCCCCTTTGGGGAGACCCGCCTGAGCGCGCAGTTGGGAAGCGAACGCGGCACCCTAGAGCCTCTGTTTCCGGCCAGGAGCTCCCAATCTTGCCGACACCCCTAGGGTGCAGGCGTCGATTCGGGTAAAAAATCTGCGTCGGGATGGTTGGAGTAAACCGGGAGATTGGAGAACTATTTCCGCGAGTTACGGGCTGGAGACATGGAGGCGAGGAAGTGGGCAGCAGGGACACTGCAAGGAGACCACTTTCCAGCTGGGAGGGCTGGGCCACTCTTTCCTGTGACTGCCCGTTTTAATTTTGCATTTTATTTTCCCGATGTGCATTTCATCTGACTTTGGTCAAAGTAGCAACCTTTAATCTGGCGATTACACGCCCCATATTTTTCCTTTCCGAGTTGATTTCCACAGCTCAGTATTGTAACCGCACAGTGGCCAGTGGTGGCTCGTATTTAGGGTAATTCTCTGATGAAAGTACATCCATTTGAATTGGATTTGTTCCTCTGTGCCTTTATTTTGGGAAACTTCACCTGGTCCCAACGGGGGAAGAGAGAGGAATGTAAAAAACTGAAATTGACCCAGAAAAAGAAGTTTGAAGGTGCTTGCATTGAAAAGATCCCATCCTAAACTTTCTGAAATGATTAACAGCTGAGGTTTCAACTTTCTCAAAAGAAACTGAGGGTAGATTTCATATCTTGAAATGGGGGGAGAGACTGCTTTATGGTCAACTTTTTATTTTGAAGTTAGATTAGTTCAATGCCTGAAATGTTACCATTATATACTCCAAAGGACCCTTCTTTTTCCTGCTGTCTCTTTTTCTCTTTACCACAGGCACTCTCCACCCACATTTATTGAGCACCCACTGAGGATTAGTCTGATCCAGTCTGACCCATCTGACCCCTCTGTGCACTCACTATAACACTTCACATGGGGATGAGCATTAAATGAGGAAGCTCAGGCAACTTTGAGGAAGAGAGAAATGAGGGATGAATATTGCACATAAATGATTTGCCCACAAATTTTTTTTTTAAAGACCAAACACCTCAGAAAGTAAAGAATTTTCTAAATAAATTGCAGACTGCCTGTTCTGCTCCCCACTCTGGCTCTGGTGAATTCTCAATCTTAAAAAAAATAAATAAATAAATAAATAAATAAATAAATTGCAGACTCTAGGGGCCTCCCCGGTGACGCAGGGGTTGAGTGCTGGGTTGCGAAGCTGCCCGCAGCCTCTGAAGCGCTGGTTAGATCCCCGGCCACCAAGCGAGGGTCCCACTTGGCTCGCAGACCTCTCCTGCAGCACGCTGCTCCCCTCAGCAGTGTATTTCGTCAGTCTGCCTGTTCTGTTCCCCACCTTGACTCTGGTGAATTCTCTCACCCTCCTGCGCTTCTGACTGTACCCAGTGCTTGTATAAAAAATAAATAAATCTTAAAAAAAATTGCAGACTCTAGTAAGTCAAAGTGTCATAGAGATACAATTTTCCTTTTATAAAAAGCTGATTCAAATGATAAAATTGTAGGAAAAGGAAATAACTTTCTAATGCTCAAATATAGCACAGTTTGAATAACTCATGGATTTGAAATGGGTCATCTTTTAAAATGGGTCACTTTGGTTAGAATCACTGCAACTTGGTGACTTTCAAATTGTAGAGTTCTGTTTGAGGAAACTAGCTGCACTAAAATCTACATAACAACATAAGGATGCGGAGCAAAACTTGCAAAATTTCAGAAGGAAACTGGCTTTTTTTAAAATAAAATATATCCTTTTTTTTTGAATTTCATTATTGCTCAATTGAACAGGTATAAGTTTTGCATTTTATGTCACATTTTACCTTTTGAGGAATATTCCCTAGCCATTATTTTATTTCATTGTTAGAATAATCTTGTGAAGAGATACATTTTTGTATCCTTGTTCCAGAAATTGAGGGAAAGCAAATTATTACAAAAATTCTGCCACTTAACATGGAATCTCAGCAAAGATGTATCCAGGACAACGTAAAACTGGAATATTTTTATTACAGTCTGCATATATATTATATAGGTGGTATAAGAATCTGCACATATAAAGATAAGAAACCTAATCAGGTGAGATATAAACTTTGAATAGACAAAACTAATTTTTTTAAAAGATTTATTTATGCATACAAGAACTGGGGTACAGGCCAGAGGTGTGGGGTAGGAGGGGTGAGAGGATTCACCAGAGACAGCGTGGGGAATAGAACAGGCAGATTGACTGAAATACTCTGCTGAGGGGAGCAGCGGGCAAGTCAGGAGAGGTCTGCTGCACCATGTGGGTAGCTCCCTGGCCGGGGATTGAACTCATGCTGCAGTAGCTGACAATAGCTTCATAGGTTGCGTCTTAACCCCTTGCGCCACCAGGGAGACCTGACAAAACTAAGTTTTTAGATTTAAATCCTGGGAATTCAGCGGCCAACTTTGGTCTATAACTCATTTTTAAGATTTCCATACTTTTGGGCCTCCCTGGTGGCGCAGCGGGTTGGGTGCTGCGCTGTGGGACTGTCTGCAGCCTCTGCAGCACCGGTTTGCTCCCTGCCCACCAGCAGAGTCCCACATAGCGCAGCGGACCTCTCCTGTCTTGCCCACTGCTCCCCTCAGCAGTGTATTTCGGTCAGTCTGCCTGTTCTGTCCCCGCTCTGTCTCTGGTGAATCCTCTCATCCTCCTGTGCATCTGGCCTGTACCCTGGTTTTTGTATAAATAAATAAATCTTAAAAAAAAAAAAAAGATTTCCATAGTCTTCTATAGTGAAGACTTTAACACTAGAACCAGTTTTCTTCAGAAAGGAATAGCCTATGACTTCTGTAGGCAACAAATTCTCAGAAGCCCAAGTTACAGTCTTAGATCCTCCTAAAATTTCATATCTTATCTCTTATTCCTTTCCTATAACTCTATATGAAACTTTGATAGTGTTCTAAGCAAGTAAGTTAAAGGTTGACTTAACCCAGGTTTGCTTCTCCATAACTGACAGGGCCTTATCATCTTTTTGTCATCTTCACTGAAATGGACGTTCACATGCTTAAGGGAACTGTAACACTGTTCTCTCCTGTCCAGGATAATGGAGGACCATGTTCAGCCACTTCTGTTCTCAGTACTCAACAGTATTTGGGCTGTGTTAGTAGATCTTAGCAATGAGCTCAGTGTTTTAAAAAATTCGTATCTGGTATTTGTTGAGACGAACAATATTAATTGAATAGATCATTTTGAAAGGAAAATAAACCCTAATGAGGATCAGCCATCTACTGATTAAACCATCCTGGCAATGATGTGTGGACAATTTCTAGAGAAAGGGAATAAATGCCTACTGAACAGCAAATCTGGACTACACCTGTCACTTAATCACCTCAAATGATCCTCAGAAAACATTGTGTGGTACATGATATAGAGACAAGTCAAGCTCATGTGACCAATAGACAGAAGCACAGGAATATATGTCTACTTTTGTTTGCAATTTATAACTGGTTTTTCCACTCTTCTGCCCCTGTCAGGTCCAGATTCAAGGTTACAACAGAACATTTACTTACTCTGGTAAGAGATCTACACCAGAAACATCTCAGCATCCTGCTGAAGTTTTCCCAGCATCCTGCCTGTCATCCGTTACACAGTATGTGATAAATCAATCATGGAATTAATTAAATGCAATATTACTAACTTTCAGATTGCCCAGCAACCTTAGAACAGGGTTGCTGCATAATAAATATTTAACTTATATGTTGATCAACTGAGACACAGAAGCATGCTATATATAGTTGTTATGTTTTATATCATTATTTATTTTTTTGTACTCTGAAAAAGCTTTCAATCAAGTATTGTTTCCAAATATAATATCCAGAAAAGGGTATATGAAGTACCATTGGACAACAGGCTTCTATGTAGAGCTTACAGAACAGGTTTATACTGACTTATCTTGTCACCCTGTTTCCAAAACACTTTTTTTATAGCTATCATAATTTGATCTTAACTGTGTACGACATCTCTCCTTGCATTTTACCCAACGCTTATTCATTTAATACTCACCTAAAAGCTTTTCTGTTTCCTCTCCTCTCAGCCTCACCTTACCTCTTTTTTTTTTTTTAACTCCCTTCTACCCTCTGAATCTTGGTTTAAATCCCCCTATCTCCTTTGTGAAAGAAAGACGCCAAGTACTCAAAGGACAGCGACACATGAGGCCACTTTTGTCCATTGTCTAGTACTATTAGGATCAGAAAAAGGAAGGAAAATTGAGGTGGAAGGGAAAGGGTATGTTACAAAAAAAAGTGGGAATAAGCTCTGACAAAATGTAGGTGGTAGCAAACATAAATGACTCCAACCTCAGACAGTGGAGCAAATCTTTGGCCCTCAGGGCTTGCTTCTCTCAGCCCTGCCCTCCTTCTTCCCTGCCCCTCCTATTCTGATGGGATCCTGGAGAGCAGGCCTTGCCAGGAAGGAAGGGCAAGTGAGCAACTCAGGGTCGGAGGTCTGACACTGATCAGCTGTTTCTCATTTTCATGGGCTCCAAAATTCATGGTGGACATGTGGTTAAGTGGATAATTCATGTCTTGGTTCCCCAGTTTCTTTTCTTTTTTTTTTAAAGATTTATTTATTTATGCATACAAGAGCTGGGGTACAGGCCAGAGATGCAGGGGGTGAGAGGATTCACCAGAGACAGAGTGGGGAACAGAACAGGCAGACTGACTGAAATACACTGCTGAGGGGAGCAGCGGGTGAGTCAGGAGAGGTCTGCTGCACCATGTGGGTTGCTCCCTGGCCAGCTGGGGATCAAACTTGTGCTTCAGAGGCTGCAGATTGCTTCATAGTGCGGTGCTAAACCCCTTGAGCCACCAGGGAGGCCCACTTCCCCAGTGTCTAATACAAAGTGAAACAAATTTTCTCCCTTTTAGGTTGTTATGAGACTTAAAGAGTTACTGTCTATGTGAGGCATTCAGAACTGATTCTGGTGCGCTATAATACACTGTGTTGCTAGAGTCAACAAAAGGAAAAATTTCTTACATGGGCAAGAACGAAACAGAAGTTGGACTTAAAAGTGCAAGCAGCCCTGTCAGTCCAAACAATGGTGCCTCAGGAGTGAATACAGAGGACCAAGCCTAGAAAAGCAAGTGTCTGACGTCCCTGAGACCTATTTTATATTTCAGCTTTTTCATTTTTTGCATAATTAAATGGCTACTGGGAATTTCTAGTGACATTTAATATGACTTCTCTAAAATATAGCAATACTTGCAGTTCCAGGTCAACAGCTGCCTTCTCATATGTCAGTCATTTGCTTGTTTATTTGGTATTTTCTTTTTTTTTTTTTAAGATTTATTTATTTATTTATACAAGCACTGGGTACAGTCAGAAGCGCAGGAGGGTGAGAGAATTCACCAGAGCCAGAGCAGGGAGCAGAGCAGGCAGAAGGACCGAAGTACACTGCTGAGGGGAGCAACGGGCGGCAGGAGAGGTCTGCGCGCCATGTGGGACCCTCCTCCGGTGGCCGGGGAGCAGCCGGGGATCGAACCTGCACTGCAGAGGCCGCGGGCAGCTTCGCAACCCAGCGCTCAACCGCTGCTCCACCGGGGAGGCCTATTTGGTATTTTCTTGTCTTTATTTTTCTCATAACCAGCAAATGGCAAACCATGCTTAGCTTATAGAGAAAGATATAACTTAGTTTATATAGGTGTGGACCTTGTTACTGTATTCACACTGTACGATTGAAATTTTCCCAACTTTTCTAACACCTCTGCCCATATTCATGTTAAATGGGCACTTAAAGTCTTTGCACTAACACTGACTCAAGAATTAACTCTATAAATATATTCTTTGTGGAGGAGTAGCATCTCCAAATCTACTCTTTGCCCATGATTTGAGCTAAAGTTTCCTAGCTAGTCACAGGCCCGAATATCAACTAAACACAACTGTTAAGTAAAATTTTTCATTTTTTACAGGTCTTGCATTACAAACAAATGCTCACATTTCATTAAAGGATAAAATACCAACTAAGAGATTATTTAATTTTTCACAGTTAAGATGTGATTTGGAAAAAAAAAGAAAAAGAAAAGAAGAAAAAAAGAGGAAAATAATGTGATTTGAAAATTTATATTCAGGTCCCTTCCTTCTTTTTGAGCAAACGGAATAAGCAAAGACTCCAATTGTGTTTTTCAGCACCAGTTACTACACCTAATTTTACTAAGAAAAATCTATAAAGTCAGATTATAGCCATTTCAGTAAACTCAGGGCTTTAAAGAAAATTCCTGATTTCTTTTAACATGCAGTTTGGCTCCTGAGGATTGGTTCTAGCTATCTATCTTAACAGTGAATAGATGATCAGAACAAGCCAGGAAAAAAATGGTTGGCCTGTAGAATAAAATGCAACATAATGATGGGACAGAAAATTTTATCTTTCTTTCCTTTGAGTTGTACCTGGACAAGAACCAAAAATTGTCACTGATGGGATGATGGGATTTTATGTAACAAAAGTTTAAAAGTAAAAGATGCAAAGTACTCAGGCTTTAAAAAAACTGACTTACTAGAGGAGCATCATTTGTTAACAGTCTTACTTTTATTACTTTTAAAGTTCGTCCCCCCAGTGAGCTCCCCATTTGCCTCCCTAGTGCTGGCCTGAGGGTCAGCGCACTTCAGAAAGGAAATGAGGGCTGCCGACCTGGGGCATCTGCAAGGAGGAGGCACACGTGGGGGCGAGAAGTGACCGTGTGTCTGATGTTTTATTTCTCTGTGAGGCGGAGGTGAAATCATCAGCAAAGAGTGAGGAGGACAGACCTTGGGACACACCAGACACTTAGCACGTCTGGTGAAAAAGCCAGGAGAGGGAGAAGGGTAAGTGAGCAGAGGTCACTGCATCAAGTTCACACTAGAAAAGGCTATTTGTAGAGATGCTGCCTGCCTGGTGTGTCTCTCTTCCCCAGCAGCCCCACAAGGGAATGGAGGGGAAGAGAAGGCTGGAATTACCCAGATCTGGGACTGTGGGGGTGGAAGACCAGGTCCAGGGGACAGAGGGCAAAGATGCCAGATGATTCTACATCTGAGATGGGGAGGTGGGTAAGAAGAAAGATCGGGAGGCTGCTGGGAGGGGTGGTGGGGGTTAAGGAGCAGGCAGGGAGTGGGTAGAGGATTCTAGGTGAATATTTAGAGGCTGTGGTTGAAGACTGAATGTACTAGAATTTGAAACTAGTGAAAATGACAGTTCTAAGGGAAACCCGCATAAATGACTTTCTAGGTAATAAGTTATCTTGAGTATTTGGGAGATAATGTGAACAAAGTGACATTCACAGTAAGACAAGGTTTCCTTAGTATTGCATGTCTATTAAATAAGAGTTAGAAATATAATTCCCCTGAAGTGGGATATTTTTAATATATTTCCATAGTGGTCACACATGTGGACTACACAACAATATATGCATTTTCCAGTCGGAGTGCACTGCTTTCTTAGTTACATGCTGGGTCTGCAGGGCTCAGGGTCAGCATTGCTGCTTGTGGAAAAAGCCCTCCCCAGCCTCCACTCACCCCATCTGTAGACTCTCCTGTGGTCTCCACATCACTTACTCTCTGCTCCTGTCTGTCTTACCACTTAGAGCTCAGTGACTGGGCCTGGTCTGTCCTGCTAATCAGGCAGCTCTCTGCCCCTTGATACCCCATCTTATTTTTTTTTTAAGATTTATTTATTTATTTTATACAAGAATGGGGTACAGGCCAGATGTGTGGGAGGGTAAGAGGATTCACCAGAGACAGAGCAGGGAACAGAACAGGCAGACTGACGAAATACACTGCTGAGGGGAGCAGCAGGCGCCACAGGAGAGGTCTGCCGAGCCATGTAGGACCCTCCCCGGCCGGCCGGCATTGAACTAGCGCTGCAGAGGCTGTTGCGGACAGCTTCACAACATGGCGCTCAACTGTCTGTGCCACCAGGGGAGGCCCCCCATCTTATTTTTCTGATGAGCTAGCACTTTCACACAGTTCTTTTTTTGTCTTTGGCTGCTTCCTCTTTTGTTCCCTGAGTCAAGTTTCCCTCGAGGCCTCTCTGTTCATCCCTCCCCTGGTGCCCACTCTGCTCTCAGCAGCCATCTTCGTCAGTCCATCTGACTCCAATCTGAGATGACCTCCTGGACCCTTTCACATCTCTGAACCTCTAAAACCAAACCCTTACTCCTAACAGGAGACCAGTTTCCCCTCCTTTGTCAGTAATATTGAACCTAGATATAACTCCTTCTCTCCCTATCCTAGAACACTCAGCAGGGCCTGCTGGGATTTTTTTTTTTTTTTTTTTTTTAAGATTTATTTATTTATTTGTTTATACAAACACTGGATACAGTCAGAAGCGCGGGAGGGTGAGAGAATTCACCAGAGCCAGAGCGGGGAGCAGAGCAGGCAGAAAGACCGAAGTACACTGCTGAGGGGAGCAGCGGGCGGCAGGAGAGGTCTGCGCGCCATGTGGGACCCTCCTCCGGTGGCCGGGGAGCAGCCGGGGATCGAACCGGCGCTGCAGAGGCTGCGGGCAGCTTCGCAACCCAGCGCTCAACCGCTGCGCCACCGGGGAGGCCCGGCCTGCTGGGATTTTGTTTTCCTTGAAAGGATCACTTTACCTCTTCCTTTTCCCACTCTCACCATCCTGAC